CTGTTGTGTGTCAAAGTTATAATCTTCATTGAAGGAGTCTGCAAATGGGGTCTCTGAAGGTCACTCTGCCCAAGTCAATGTATTCTCTTTGGCAATATTTAACCCTAGGACTAATCTTCATTTTCCTTGCAATTGTGCACATTAGTGGGCTGTTTCACGAAAGTAGTGTGGAGGTTAAGCAATCTGCTTAGTGATTAAATAACCCAGGTGAATAAGCCACATTTTTGGAAGACACTGGTAGTCCCCACTGAAGCCATGGATTCTTCCAGCTTTTCTTGGTGAGCTAAATTACTTATGGATTTAAATTATTTATAGTATGAATGAGAGTCTATGGCTACAACCTGGGTAGCTCAGTCAGTATAACACTAGGTTTTTAATCTGGGGGTCTAGGGTTCAAGTCCTTATCTAGATGGCCACGTGCAGAAGGGGGATCTGCACTTTACCCAGACAAACTCATTGTCCTTCAATGTCCAATCTAGCTTTGTTTAATTATACCCTCCAAAGACTAACTGCATCACTTCTAGATCTCTGTAAGGAAATTTAGAATCTTGGGCAATGGGGAAAAAAGCTATTAAAACAACAAAAATAACTTTCAATTGAATTACTTAGGAACATGCCATTTTTAAATTCTCTTTCCTGGTGTGGGAGAATTATTTCATTCTAGAAGGTGGAGTGCAGTTTGGGAAGGCCCTGCTAGCAAATAAACTCTGAGAGCAGTGGTATTTGTCTCTTTGATCTCTAAGTTCTCCAGGTCTTAGACATCTTAGTACACAGAAGTTTTGCCCACCCTGAAGAAAAAAAAAACAGTTATAAACTAAAATCCAAACACATTTTGAAATTGTGTTAATTATCCACTTTGTCCTTTTGTTACAAAGCTATTCTCCTTACCCTGGGATTTAGACATCTATAAAAACCCTCGAAATGGGCATCTATACATTTTTTCTGTGTACAGTTCTATAGATTTTTGCAAGATTTTAAATGGTTGTAGGACAAAAAGACAAGGTTCTCACCCAGCAAATAATGTGAGCAGAGCCAGATTGTGTTTCCTTTATGACTGTTTCCCTCATTGCCACTATGTCATGTGTCCCTAGGAGAAGAGGAGAGATGGGATTCCTATCAGAGAAACCCTGTATCTGAAAAGTTGTAGGACTTTTCCCATTCTTAAACTGGACCTCAGAAATCCTCTAGTTGTCAGGACAGCAAGAATCCCTGTTATACCTGACATAAAAATGTGAAGTAGCTTTTCAACAGAAACAGGTATTAAAAGATCAAAAGTCTGCGATTCCCCAGATTGAAACTCCAGCCCTCTCTAGAGTCCTAATTTGGCAGATGAAAGGATGAGATCTTTAAGAAATGTGAGAGAATCCATGGCTTCACGGGCTTTCAGGGTCTCTCAATCTTTGCTACATCCAACTTTCTCCAAAAATACAGGTGTGACATTACATTGATAGCATCCTGCTCTGAGGAGACTTATTGGACACATTCATTGAAGACATACACACATTCACAAAGGAGCTCACAATAAAGGGATGGGCCATTGCCACTCACATGCAAAAATAAAAATAAAATTACTTAAAATGTTTTAAAAAATGAGACAGAGAAAATGATAAAACAAATTAGATAAAATATTAAGAAAAGTTAAATCCAGGGGTACGTGGTATCCCTATAGTATTTTTTATTTTATTTTTGTAATCTTTTGTAAGTTTGAAACTTTTTTCCAAATAGAAAGTTTGAAAGTCAATTAAATATCAGTAAGCATAATTATATAAACATCAAGAAACATCAGACTTTGAAAAATTTACCTGCAAACTGAGCAGAACTATTTTTATAGGTTTGCATTTTTAGAGTGCTTAGATTTTTCCAAAATCCGTGGTATAAAAGAAACCAGCACACATTATACATTTAAATGTACTTTATAAATAATGTTAGATAATAACCTAATAACTTTAGCATTAATTATCAGACTTTCTTTGGCCAACACCATAAATTTTTACTTTTGTAAAAGTGAAAAGCCAGATAATTTAACTAATTAGAGCTATGGAAGTTATCACTGCAAATGTCCCTATTTTTACATGAATTAAAACATACTACCCTCACTACACCCTTTGGCATTCTGTGGTGACTACATGACCTGGGGAAGAAACACAAAGTTACTTTTGTTGTTTATATGATGAGTAATAACAACATGATCTATGCTAGATCACTAGTGGGTTTTTTAATGCTGTACAAATTAATTTAAATTTAATATCAAATACAGGCTGGACATGGTGCCTCATGCCTGTAATCCCAGCACTTTTGGGAGGCCAAGGCAAGAGCATCACTTGAGGCCAGGAGTTCCAGACCAGCCTGGACAACACAGGAGACCCCATCTCTACAAAAATAAAATATAAGAAAAATTATCCAGGAATGGTGGCCCATACCTGTAGTCCCAGCTACTTGGAACATTGAGCCCAGGAGTTTGAGGCTGTGGTGAGCTATGATTAAGCCACTGCAGTCCAGCATGGGCAACAGAGTGAGATTCTGTCCCTTAAAAACAAAACAAAACAAAAAACAATGACAAAAAAAATTTTTGAACATGTTAGTAACATAATCAGAGTAACCAAGGTCAGAGAAATGGCCAGTAGCTGCCAAACTTTGGGACATAATGAGATTGCCTGGTTATCTTTAAAACCTACAAAATAATGGCTCCCATCCTTAGACATTCTGATTTAACCGGTGTAGTGTGCCACTCCTATATCAAGAATTTTAAAATCTAATCAGGTTATTCTAATGTGCAGCAAAATCTGAGAGCCATTGAGATCTTCCCAAATGTGGTTCCTGACCCAGCAATTATCTGTATCACCAGAAAGCTTGTTAGAAGTACCGAATCTCCAGACACAGCCGAGATCGCCTGAAAGAGAATCACATTTTAACAAAATACCCAGGTGATTTTGATGCACTTCAGAGTGTGAGAAGTGCTGACTTTCGGCAGGGTTACTCAAAGGATGGCCAGCTGACCAGCAGTATTAGCAGCAGCATCCAGGAGCCAACTAACACTGCAAATTCTTGGACCACTCTCCAGACCTATTGAATCAGTATCTCTGGGGGTGGAGCCCAGGAATCTGCGTTTTAACAATTGCTCCAAATGATTCTCAAGCATGTGAAACCTACAAAATAAGAATCTACATTTTAACCAGATTCCCATGGATTTGTAAATTCTTAAAAATGAGAAAAATTCTAGCCTAGAGGATTTAAGAATATAAAGGCTACTGCTCCAAGATGCCTCAAAGAACACATAATTTAAGACAGTAGGTACTAGCTCCATATAACAGTTTTTGTTTCAAAATCTTCCAAATTTTTTCCAAAATTTTTAAAAAATTTCAAAAGTTTGTTTCAAAGCAAAGTATGGTTATTTCTTAAATAAATAAGATTGTAACATTCTTGAGATAAGTGATACTCGCACAAGAGTTTTTATTCCATTGGGCTCTAGTTTATAAGTCAATTACATGTCTGTTGTACAAAGCAGCTGCCATGACAAGCTACCTTTTTTAAGGTAAGGGGTACAATTCTCTGTTCAGGACATCTTAAAACAACTTATTTCAATTGCACAAATATAATTAATGAAGAATGTATTTTTACTGCTCTTCACCTTTTCAAAGACATCTTTCAAGTGGAATAAGTTACATTGGTCATTTAGATTGCAAAGCCGCTAATGACGTTGGCTGTCTCCCCAGACTGCCATGTTTTTGACCATCTCGGTTGACCCAGACTTTTTTACTGGACCTGAAAAACAGAAGCAACATGCATCCTGGAATGCTCATATTATCTGCTGATGTCTGCTGAAGTCTCTTCATACCACAAACAACTTCTAAATGAGAGTGAGCAAGTAGGGAATGACAGAGGAAGATTCTGTAGAACTGTCAGAGAATGCATGTTTTTACTCATATTTGTTCGTATGAAGAATCCATTAAAACAGTGTAAATTAAGGAAAGAATAAAAGCCTTAGAAATGCCCCCATCCAACTGTAGCACTAAAGTTAAAAATACACACTACCAGATTAACAAGGGGATAAACAGAGGGCCAGAACTAAGTGACCCTGTCAAAGGTGTCTATCTCTGCTAACACTTCCTTAACTCTGTTTGAAACAGTGCATAACAATTTACATAAAGTTCCATATGTGTCAGAAAAAAATTGTCAGAATCTTGGAAATGGGCCACAGAAATTACTGAGTATACTTTCAGTGAAGTGTTGGGCATTGTCTAATGAACTTCTGTAAATTACTTGATTCTGAGTGGCACCTTTGACAAAATTTTTATTTATTAAACTATTCTAGAGCTCTGTAGGGGAAAAGTTGACTTGTAAATAATTGATAATAATGCAGATAATTCCAGACATTACATTTTATTGTCTTATGGATTATTAATCAGTTTTCCATTAATCATTAGTTTATTAATATCCCCAAGAATCCTGAAGTATGAATTGTTATCCCAAGATAACAGATGAAAGGAAGAGGGCTGAGAGGGGCAAAATAACGCAAGACAACACTCAGTTTGTGAGTGATGCAGCCTCAATTTAAACTTCACCAACCGCCCTAGTAGTTCGGCCCTTTCTGTTCCAAAGTCACCTCCACTGGCAGCCCGGCCTCGACCGACTCTCACCTAGCGCGCTTTGAACACACTACGGCAAAGAAAGACGCTCTCTTGCACCTCAATCCAATTAGGCGACGAATGAAAATTCTCAATTAGGATCCCGCAGTGTTTCCAGTGTCACCTGGACACATTTTGAATCCCGGCGCCTTCGGTGACCTCTCCTCCAAGAGAGAAGGCCGCAGTGGATTTCCATGAGATGACAGTCGCTTACTGGATAAACCCAGTGATAAACCAACACGCGGAATTCGACTTAAATAAAACAAAATAAGAACAAAAACACAGAAACAAACCAGAAAGAGCTCCTTTCTGAGGAGCCACTTCTAGGAGGACTGTTACTGTTAGAATGTGAGGCAAGAAAAGGTTACCTGTAGCCTCCCCGTCAGGGAATCGAACCCCGGTCTCCCGCGTGACAGGCGGGGATACTCACCACTATACTAACGAGGAAGATGGTAAACACCTCCTGAGGAAATTCAATTGCAGGGACATAGATGCATTGAGTAGTGGCTTTTTTTCCCCTTTCCTGGCACAGAATTTCTAAGAAATTCACCAATCTTCACATTAAGAAATTGTTATTAAATCTGAACTATGGAAAAACAGCAACAACAAAAGAAAAATTGTTATAAATTGTCTACAACAGATTCCCCATGCTACTTAGAAAATATAAAAATGACAGCCCTGCAAAAGATGGCTGTAAATAGTTCTAGTTCGTTAATAGCAAAGAAATGTCAATTAATAGTAAGGAAGTCACTAAATTTAAGCTCCCTCTGCTCAAAATATCCTCCCTCCTTTATCTCAAGTTATTCGTTATAGATTTACCCCAAGGGTCCCCTTTCCCCGAGATTTTTTCTCAGACCAATGTGAATTAGATGCCCTTCCTCTGTTTCGGTTTACCATGATAAAAATCATATCTATATATATGAATTTCTACATGGGATAAAGGTAAGGTCTTAGTCTTAAAATCTAGACCTTAGATTTTGCAGCGTTGGCATTAAATGCGTGTTTATTTCTGTATAGCCTTTTAGTAGCAAAATGCCATTCCTAGAAATACCACTCCTAGAAGTGCTCCTCAGTGAAATTCCAGCTGAGCTCCACAGGTGGCTTCACAGAGGGTAGTCATTATGTAGCAATTCGAGGTAGCAGAGAATTGGAGGCAATCTGGATGTCCATCAGAAGTATGAATAAATGTATATTCAGAGACAAGCAGTATGTTTCCTAGTGCTGTCATACCAAATTGCCACAAACAAATCTGTGGCGTAAAACAACATAAATTTACTATCTTTTTGGAAGCTAGGAGTCTGAAATCAAAATGTTGGCAGGGCCACCCACCCTTTGAAGGCTCCAGGGAAGAGTACTTCCTTTCCTCTTCTGAGCTTCTGGTGGCTACTAAATAGTAACTCCTAGCATACCTTGGCTTGTAGCTGCACCTTTCCAATCTCCGACTCTGTAGCCATGTGGCCTTATTCCCTCTGTGTTTCTGTGTGTCTTCTCCTCTTATAAAGGAATCTGAGGTTCTGGGTACACACAAGTTTTGGGGGCAACATTAACCCACTACAATTAAGAATGAAGAATAAACTGTTACATTCATAAGCTTAGTTAACTGAACCAAGGTAAACATTAAGAGCTGTAAAATTGTTGATTAAAGTTGGTTGTGGTAGAGAGGGAAGGGAGGTAGGGAGGAAGAATATACAAGCTTACATTGTTATTGTTCAGACCAAAGAAAAAATAGATTTGTCTAAAGAAAGATGAGCTCTTAAATAATGATGTAATGATGAAGATAACTAATAGATAAAACTTACAAATTTTCTAAAAATATTAGAACAGGTCAAATGAGAGAATAGCTTATTTTTGAAATAGACATTAAAGACCTAAATAAAAGCAGAAATATATTACATTTATAGATTGGAAGACAATATCTCAGAGGTATCATTTATTCCCAAATTGAGCTATAAATTCAATGTAACTTCAATATAAATTCCAAAAATGTTTTTCCAAGGACTTAATAAACTGGTTGTAAAATTATGTGGAAGTGCATAGGACCTACAATAGTAGGACACTTAGCAAAAATAGAAAGAGAATTGCCAACAAGGTTGCAGGACTTATTAGACACTTCAGTAATTAATATATTACAATACAGGTATTGATATTGAACCTCGAATTGACAAAATATAAAGGAGAGCTCAGAAAAAGAGCCATGCACATATAAAATCTAGTGTATTGACAGAGGGAGCATGCCAGATCAGAGAAAGTTGGGGTTATTTAATAAATGGTGTTAGGAAAAATATAATATTCCAATGGGGGGGGGAATGTAAAATTGGATAAAGATTACCACCAGAAAGATCAAGGACATAAATGTCAAATACAAAATTTACAACTCTTAGTAGTATATATATGAATCAATCAGGACTCTGTACAGACTATTTTAGGTAATAAAATGGAGAATTTTAATACAATAAATAGGCTACACTAGTGATAGAACTGATATGACAAATGGGACAGAGATTAGCACCAGATTAGCCACTAAAGGCCGTAAGAACCTGAAACCACAACAGATTTGCCCTTCGGGCATTTGACAGATTGAGGAGATGTAGCCAAGGCTCAGCAGTAGTGGGTAATACCCTGTTTCCATTCTTCCTTCTTCTCTCTAATCTCCATCCAGTGCTTAACATTGGTTAAATCCATCATATGTCAAGGGTATTTGGGAAATGCAGTTTATACAGTCTGGCATCTTTGTGGTATAAAGCACAAAAAAGCATGGTTGCTGAATAAATCTGAGCACAGACAGTTAAGGGAAGTCTATCCCTTTTGCTACTCATCATCCAATCTCAGCATTTTACCAATATTTAACTGAGATGTTCAAAAAGTTAATGCTCTAGGCACATGAAGATATCTCCAAACTCTCCCAAAAAAGAAAAGCAAAGTGCCATCATACTTTCTCAAAGAACAGCACTATTAGAGCCTAGGAATTGAAATTACCTGGCCTAAGGTCTAATCATACTAGCCCTGTTCAGTGAGAGGTAAAGAAGAACATGCAGCTATTCCAATAGATGGTGCCCAAAGTAGGAAGAGACAGGTAGAAATTACCTGGCTTCTTTATCCCTTTTACTCTCCTATCACCCACCATTGCATTTTGTTGATTAAACTGAGCTGCAGACAAATGGGTAGTTAGCTTGGGAAATGCAGTCTGAGGAGTTCAGCCCTTTTTGATATAGGAGAAGGGTGCAGGAGAAGGGTGAAGAAAGAATATGAGAGTCAACAAACAGTGACTACTGCATGTAAGAAAATACATATTAAAGTAGTAAAGATTGGAAGGACTGGTTAAACAACATCCAAAACTGCTACCAGTTTAAGAGAGCTTGCTATATTTGTGCAAATGAAATTACTAGTTTTTCTTAACCAAATTATAGCTTAAAATGAAAACACAAGTTACATTGAGAAAGATCAAATAGATTCAAATAATTGAATTGAATTGCAATTAAGGAGAAAGACAAAAAAGTATAGCAAGAATTCACACATTTTATGTAATAATAAGCACATCAATCAGATAAATAATCACGAAGATAAACTGGCATTTAGAAGAAAATTCAAATTTATAAATCCAAACATACGCAGAATAGTAAAGCTCATTGTGATAAAGGAATGCAAACTATGACTACAATAAGATACTATTTACCTCCATTTGATAGGATACAAATTAAATGTGCAAAAATAACAGTTGTCGAGTATGTGGATTATATATTATATTATCATATTATCTATGTATATTATTTTATACATTGTCAACAGAGACATCTATTTTTACAACTTTGGAAAACAGTTTGTCATTACCTCAAAAAGTTAAACATTTGCATAATCTAACAAACCAACAATCTCTTTCCTAGGAACTACACACAAGAAATATATTTACCTCTGTATCATGTCACGTATGCCTAAGAGTTCATAGAATTGCTTGCAATGTTAAATACCTGAAAACAACTCAAATGCTCTTTGGTTGATGTGTGAAAGGTCTGATGCAAAGATTTTTGAAATCTGCACCCTGAAATGGGAAAATTGCCCATGATATATTCATGAAAATTGTTCATATATTAGCTGCTCCCACCCTCCAAAAAATCTCAATATATTCTAAAATGTAGAAATAATAAGAACAACATTTTCTAACCATCCAAAATTATAAAGCTTTTTAAAAACTCTGGGGCCAAAGGTAAAATATAAACAGTTAAAAAATTCTATAAAACAAGGACATTGAAAATATTATATAGCACTAAATATTATAATACCACTAAAGCAGTATCCAGAGGAAAACTTGTAGACCTAAATACTTCTATCAATAAAAAGGAAATAATATTAAAATCAAGACTCTGTCTCAGAGAGTGATTTAGTTTAGGTTACCAAGAAACAGAGTCTAAGACAGAGAGTGTGTGCACAAAATTTATTAGAGAGTATACAGGAGAACAGCACCTATAAAAATGAGAGGAAAGCAGAATTAGAGGAAGGGAAAAATGAAACTGCAAAGCAGTTGCAACAGAGGTTTCAGCCAGGCCACTAGGAGCTGGAATTAGAATGCCCTTCAGAATTGACCCAAACTAAAGCAAAAATGCAGTGATTGTATTATATACAGCTTGCCCCAGAGAGAGATTCTAATCCTAAAAGAGTATAACCTTTGGCAGGGGGTTATTGATAAATGCTGAGTCTTTTTTTAGGCAAAAATAAAATACTTACAAAAAGATGGATAATAATTAACTCACAAAGAAAACATCAGTAAGTTTCATAAAATAGAATTATCACAAACAAAACTCTGCTCACAATGCAAAAACAACTGTACTCACAAAATAAAAAACCATCAAGGCCTTCCCATATGGATATTTTAAAATTTTATTAAAAATTCTTATGTGTAAGGGAAAACGCCATATGAGCTGGAGTTACAGAATTTTAAAAAATAAAAATAATAAAACATTGCATATCAGAATATATTATGTTCATTTAAAGTAGCAATCAGAGGAAAATATAGATCCTTAAGTCCTTTTATCAATAAGGATGAAAAAATAAAAACAAATAGAATAAATTTCTATTATAAGCAATTATAATAAGGAAAACACTGAAAAAGAAAAGCAAGGTGTGTGTAGAGAGGGGTAGCCCTGTCAGATCCTAAAACATATGCTTAATGCACCTATAATTAAAACACCATAACACTTACAAATAAATAGACAGCCAGTAGGATAGAATATTATACAAAGTCCAGAAGTAAACAAAATCACACATGGACAGTTAGTGTATGATAAAGCATGTATTTCAAACCACAGGTGTGCAAAGATGGACTTTTTAATAAATAGTTCAGAAACAACTTGTTATCCGTTTAGAAAGAGCCAAAATGAAATTCAAACCACACTGTCTATGCAAGAACAAACTCCAAATGGATCAATGACCTAAATGTAAAAATTAAAAATCTA